TAAACCAAGGCGTGAAAGGTACACATAACTAAGGGTTTGGACTAAATCAACTCTACTTTTTATTTAATTTAATTGTTTCAATTTTATATTTTTATTGAAGTTACTAACAGTTTATTCATGATGTAGCAATTCAAGGAAACTCGGAAAGTGAGTAATTAATCACTTAATTACTCTTATTTTTATTCTTGTTGTTAGTATCATTATTAGGGTTATTATTATTATTTGATTTGACTAACGTTATTTTTGTTAAATTGTTTCCAATATTAATGATAATTCTATTATATTTTTTATGATCACCATATTGCATGTTTAAAGGGAATATGTAATTGAAAATCACGCCTAATAAGATAATTTGGACAACCGGTTTAGGTTCCTTTTTAATCTTGTTATTAATTCAAGTGATCACAATATTAGAATTATATGTTGCATTAATATTAAACCAATTTAGCATAATAATAGCTTGGATCAAATTGAATATTTTGTTTGTATGCCTTTGAGATCGTAGGAATCACTTTTCACTATAAGAATCGAGTAGATGCCAATACGGGCGAATGTGACTCCATGACTCACTTCGTACCATCATCCCCGATCCTCTTTTCGTGGTTCCGAACCATATATAGTTAGTAATCTCATGGATTATGAATGGGGTGTAAACTTCACGGGTCAATCGTTGTTGCCTATTGTTGTCCCTTAATCGTGGTTGCCTTTTATGATCCGTGAACAGTTTATAAGTTCCTTAAAAACTTGTTGGCGGCTCCCTACTTTCCTTGTCCCTAATCGTATATGTCAATTCCCACTTCCTATGAGTGCCAAGCATATTAACACATGTTTTAAAGTAGGCGCACATCGAACGACGCCTACAACTATGCACCAAAAATGTTTGGGTAGCTGTAGGGAATATTTCAAGCATCCCAAACTTGAGCCCCACTGTGATCATACACTTAAGCATGGTGAAATCCAAAGATCCATGAGATCGCTAACTCCATAGTGGTCTGGAACCATGACTGGATATTCGGGGATGAAGGTACAAATCCAACCTAAAAGAGATTGAACCTGCCCTAAAAATAGGCCTCTACTTTATTCTTCTCGTATTCATGTGCGCTTTCTTGCTAACATGCAATCAATATATTAACCCTAAACTTGTTTAATCTATGTTGGTTGAATATTAATGCACAAACAAAACTATTATTGGCGATCACTTGAATTATAATCATATTAGCCTAAACAATATTATTAATTATCTTATTAAGCATGATTACAAGTACAAATTCCCTATAATCATACATAAAAGGCATGATCAAGAAATAACAATAACAATAACAATCATCATAATAATCTCAATAAAGCATAAAATAATAGCAAGATCCGAAGCATGATACTAACAAGATTAATAACAAATCCTAGCATGTCACTAAACAATAAAGATTAAATTTTTATCCCTAATATGATACTAACATGATATAAGAAATAGGAAGCAACCCATAGAAACATACATAATATTAGAAATATTAGTTATTACCCAAAACATGATACTAGAAATCATAAAAACATCTTAACATGATACTAGGAATTAAAATAATCAAAACATGATTTCTATATCAAAATAACAATCACTTACTTAGATGCCTCGTATATCTTTCTAATAACAAAATACATGTGTTAGTAACTTCAAGGAAAATAATAAATCAAACAATTAAATTAAATTATTGAAATAGAGATTGGGACCAAACACTCTGAAATTCTCAATCTTTCACGTTTAGGGCGAAGGCAACTTCGAACTTGGCTAGGTGTGTCTAGATCTAATGTATGCAGAATTTCGTAAGAGGGAAGGTTTAGAAAAAGAATAGAGAGAGAGTAAGCTTCTAGCTTTTAGAGAGAGAATAGAGATTGTTGATAATTATGAATGAATAAAAACGGGGGTCTAGGACCCTATTTATAGAAAAAATAGTCCGAAAACCGATCGAAAAGAAATCGAGTCTCATTCGAAATAAAAAACCTCCTGTCGCGAACAACAGGAGTTAGCGCCAGACGACAGACATTAGCGCCAGGCAACAAGTATTAGCGACAGGCACCAGTGCCAAGCGACATACTCTGTCGTTTGGCGCGAATTAAAAGATAAAACGCGCTTTGTACAGAATCCTTTTCCTAAAATAATTAAGTAATTAGAATCCGTGTTAAACACACTAGTAGAAAAAAGCAATTCCCCACCGGTTCTAAACCCCCCTGTGCCACCGGTTTTTAACCGTTGGGCATTTAGGGGGTGGCAACACTTAGTTGAAAAGCCACCGGTTCAAAACCGGTGGAAAAATTAAGTATTGCCACCGGTTAACCGGTGGCAAAAACAATTCTCGCTTTATCTTTTTTATTGTATTAAATATAAATGCCACCGGTTAACCGGTGGCAATGTACATATTAAGTTTTTTTTACAAAAAGAAATATAATAGAACAATTAAATCAAAAAAAAAAAATTTAGGACATCAAAATACAAATCAAACAATATCGATAAATATAATTGTAGGGAATATTTCAAGCGTTAACCCCTAGCTTGAACCCCACTGTGATCATACACTAAAGTACGGTGGCGTCCAAAGGGAAAGAAGATAGAGCAAAAGAGTCGCCAACAAGTTTTTTTAGGAACTTGTAAACCGTTCACGAGGTGAAGATTACACCACTTAACGATCCAAGAGATCGTCAACTCCATAAGGTCTTGAACCAAATAGGGTTTGGGGATGAAGGTACAAATCCAACCTACAAAGAGATTGAACCTGCCCTAATAATAGGCCTCTACTTTATTCTGATCGTATTCATGTGCGCTTTTCTGACTAACATGCAATCAATAGGATTACCCTAAACCTGTTTATCTATGTTGGTTGAATATTAATGCACAAATAAATCTATTATTGGCGATCACTTGAATTATAATCAAATTAACCCTAAACAAAATTATTAATTATCTTATATAAGCGTGATTACAAGTACCAATTCCCTTTAAACATGCATAAAAGGCATGATCAAGCAATAAAAAAATATCAAGCAACATAATAATAATAATCATCATCAAGATAATAATATTCATGTTAAAGCATAATAATAGCAAGATCCCAAGCATGATACTAACAAGATTAATAACAAACCCTAGCATGTCACTAAACATTAAAAATCAAAGCTTTAACCCTAACATGATACTAACAATCATAAATATTAGGAAGAACATAAAAGGCATCATACTTTTAATCATACTTAATATTAAAGTTACTCAAGACATGATACTAGGAAGATCAAAACGCCCTAACATAACATTAGGAATCAAAATAACAACCTAAGCATGATTTCTACATCATAATATCAATTAAACCATTAAAGTACTTACTTTGATGCCTCGTACCTCTTTCTAATAACAAAATACACACGTTAGTAACTTCAAGGAAAATAAAAACAACAATTAAATTAAATAATTGAAAGAGAGATTTGGGACCAAACCCTCAGAAATTAAACCTTTCACGTCTAGGGCGAAGGTAACTTCGAACTTGGCTAGGTATGTCTAGTGCTAATGTGAATGCGGAATTTTGTATTAGAGAAAAGGCTAGTTTAGAAACGAGAGAGAGTAATCAAGAAAATCTTGATGAGAGTTGGTGAATGAAAACGGGGTTTTTAGAACGATATATATAGAAAAAATCAGCCAAAAAGATAAAACATCAAAAACAGAGTTCTGACGCGAAAAGCCAGATTAGCGCCAAACGCTGACCTTAGCGCCAGACGCTAAGGCTAGCGCCAGACGCTAAGGCTAGCGCCAGGCGCCAAGCGTAGCGTCAGACACTACAGCTGGCGTTTGGCGCTGACTCGGAAATTCACGCGTTTTCTTAAAATCAGATAGAAATTGCCGTACAGGAGGATAAAATCGTATTTTCCTCAAAAATGTTCTTTGATTCTAATTAAAACTCTAAAAAGTCAACAAAAGTCAATTTATCAATGCTAATCGAATTAAGAATGAAAAGAATCTTCTAGAAAAATCTAGAAGACTAAAACCATTTCTAATTGCATTAGGAATGATAAATCCATATTAGGCTCTCCTCTAGATCATTGGGCCGCATGTAAGGCTCAACCCAGGCCCAATTCAGTAAATTGGCCATAACTTCCTCAATATTCATCGGAATTGGGCTTATAATATATCGTTGGAAAGCTCTTTTCAAGCCCTATCCAACTACACTATTATTGGACCCATATCGTGGACCAACCAAACTGGATTGGCTGTTTTCTTATAATAGGTTTTCAAAAACAGAGAGAAGAGAAAAGAAATTAAAACTATCCGTAACACTAAACTTTCCACACTTTCACTTCATTCGATTATGATTCGACGTGAAAGGTACTCATCACTGGGTTTGGTTTTGGGGAGACACAAATGAGTGTCTACAATAATAAAAAATTTACAATATATAATAAAAAAAAAATACAATTTAGATCAAGCAAATCGATCAATTATTTCCTCAAAAAAAAATCGAACAATTACGACATATAAATAAAAAAAAAATTACAATATAAATTAAAAATAATAATTACAACATCAAAATCAAAATTCTTGCATATTGATTCTTCGATTTAAGATCTAAATCAATATACCTGCACCAATTAAAAGAAAAAAAATAAATCGATTAAAATAAACAAGCTGCGAAAAAAACAAAATCCAAGAATAATTTGCATGTACCACTAGTGGAAAAATCTCATTCGTAACAGGCTATTTGTAACGGGCAAAGCTTTGCCCGTTACAATTAAGATATTCGTAACGAGAAAAATAGTGTCCGTTACGAATACTTATTTATTTGTAACGGGCGAAATAGTGTTCGTTACGAATACGTATGTATTTGTAACGGACAAATTAGTGCACATTACAAATAATTAAGTATCCGTAGCGGACACTATTTTGCCCGTTACAAATACTATATTACACGTAACAGGCGTAATGTGCCCGATACAAATGCCCAAACTTGGCCCAACTTATAGAGGAGCCTATTAGGATTTTTATTAGGGTTTCACGGCTTTCACCTAATAGCCGTCATTCACTCACTCTCTCTCTCTCCTCTCCTCTCCTCTCCGTCATTCACCTCTTTCTCTCATTTCCAACTCAGTCCTTCTCTCCTCTCCTCTCCTCCATCAATCTTAGAGAAAAAATGGTTAAATTGGGGGTTTTGATTTGCTTTATAAATCCAAGGGTTTATTGACGGGGGTTGTGTCGGATCCTTCTCAAGGTCTTTCCTCAACACAACCAGAAGAGACGGGGGTTTATTGACGGGGGTTTCAATTTTGCGCAACAATTTCTGGGCAGCGTGTTGTTGTGGTTCGTTGCGAAGAGATCGCACTTTCTGGTGGTCTTTTAGGCAGAAGATGAAGTATCTTGGTTTTCTTCGTAAGAGGATGAACATCAAACCTTCTCATGGTCCTATTCATTTCCGTGCTCCTTGTGAGATCTTATGGCGTACCGTTCGAGGGTATTTCCTGCTTTTCTCTAGAATTTTTGTTTTTTGATCTATTTTATTTGGTATTTTATATGTTTGATTGATACATGATGATATAGATTGCTTCTATGTTTGAGAAATGTAATCTGTTTCATGATTTTTTTGCGATTTCTCACTTAATTTATTTATGCTTGAAAATTGGATGTGAATTTATTTAGCTAAGTGTGATATTTAGAGGATAGAGTACTTATTTCTGCCTATTTTTGACTAAATCATAGTGTTTATTTTAATTTAAAGATGACGCATTTTTTTGAATGAAGTTAATAGGGCTATAATTCTGATTGTTGTAGATTAAAGTTATTCTCTAAGATTAACATTCATGTTTATCTCCTCTCACAAATTGCTCTATTTGTTTTTGTGTCACATTATTAAAAAACTTTGTTAATATCTATGCTTTATCTTCAGTATTTAAGGGAAGTTATGTGATGCTAAAGTGATTCTCTATCAAAAAAAGAAATTTTTTAATTAGCTTTCTTCTTAAGAGAAAGCTGGTAACATTCTTATGCGGAGGTAGAGTTGCTAGGTTGCCTTTTAAGAGGTATCAAATACTTGTAAAAATAAAAACTGAAAAGATTGCACTGGAAGAATACTCAATAACTGACTGAGGATGCATGAGTAACAGAACACAGAATTTGCGCCATGTTGAGGGTGTCACCGTTTAATACCCCTACTCAAACATCAACAGCAAGAACCAGGATATTTCTAGGTAATGAAGTTGTTTCTGTCATGAGATTGCTCATCATATAAGCTATATGGTGATCAAGAGACGCTCCCTGGAAGTAGACCCAAATATCATGACTTTATATATTTTGTGCCTTTGGGCCTTTTCCTGCATCGACCTTGAAAGAAATGAAGGAATAAGTTTCTTTGATTGTTCATTTATTGAATTTGCTAACAAAATTAATAGTATACGACATATGCATGAAATGGCGTACCTTGTCAATCAACCTGGCAAAAAGTGTAAGAGCATAAACACTTCTCTGTTAAGCTATGAGTATGAGGGTATTCAAGGATGCATACCTGAAATACAATAGAGGTATAAAAAATGAAGTTTAATAAAAAGGAGAAAATAGAAATAAAGGAAATTTAAAAGATATATATGCTTGCCAATTTGAATCAACTCAAGACTTCAAGTTGATTATTCAGTGAGCTCATCAGACATTGATTTTCATGAGACATTAGCCCCAAGTCATTATATTTTGTTGCTTGCATATTCCTTTACTCTCTTACCCCCCCCCCCTCCCCCTCTCATCTTCCTGATTTTTGTTGTTGTATGTGATCTAGGGGGTGAAGTTGGAAGTGAAGCTGCCTTGGTTGCATTGAACGGCAGATAACAGGACTTGGACACTTTCGATGCCAACTCTGAGCTTATGATTATAGGTGGGTTGAAGTGTGGTGTAACGCTGCTATCATTGGTTTGATAAAGGTTAGACTGGCTGAACCTTTGGGTAGTAGCTTTGCAGAGTATAGCAGCTTCGTATTTTTATGTTTAAGTTTGTTTTATTTTAGTTGTATTTGATCTGTTAGAATTTTTTTTTAACTTTTATTCAAATTAATTTTGATTTTTGGGTTTTTTTGGATTGTCAATAATAAAAAATGGGTATCTGTTTGAGCCTTTGTTTGTTAAATTAGGTTTCTTTTAATAGAAACATATGACGAGATCTTTTTTTTTATTCGTATTAGTTTGGCTTTCAAATTTGGTTTCAAGTGTCATAAATTATGATATTCGGTTTATTTAATTTGTGCTAACTTATAATTGATCTTGTTAAATACTGTATTTTGGTTTCTGGATAGATAATTTTCAGATCTGGGAATTTTCATTCATTGCTTCTTTCTAGTTAAATACTGTAATAGTTTAGTGCCCTGCATTGGTGAGGCTTTCGAACTTGAGAATACTTGATTGAGTGATGACGAGGGGTGAACTAGGCCGTTGAAACTAATTTTCCCTCGATCAAACTAAATTTATAAACACTTAACCAACCTAAATACTAGTATAGAGGCAAGTCAAGGATCAAACCCTAAGGAACGGTAATGTTCAAGCGCTCTCAATTATGCGCCTAAGCTAGGTCGAAGTCTAAGGATTAAAGGTAAACACTAACCAACTAACAAAACAAAGAACCAAACAAATAAACACTAGGAACGGGGATCAACAAGTAATCATAACAATTGTAGCAACTCGGAAATACATGCAAGTCAATGGTTGTGAAGACTAATGGCAAGCTCAATCAAAAGAGTCAACAAGCTATCTCCTAGAGGTCAAACTAGCGCCAACTACGAGAGACTCTAACTAGGAGCATCACTAATCAAGCTCAATCGACAATTGCAATTCCTAAATCAATGGTCTGTATCATTAGAAACTACAATGCAAACTAGCATAATTCTCAAGGCCTAATCGAATTACACACATGCAAACTTCCATTAATCACTTTAATCTCAACAATTAATCAACACAATCCCTAAATTAAGTACAATTAATCAATCATACAAGTTTCACCCTATCCCTAGCCAAACAACTACTCAAACATCATCATCTAGTCACAAACAACTAAAGAAATCAAGAATCATCAAAATATGAAGAAAAATTACACTAATCAAAGATCAAATCATCAAAATCAAACTAAACAGATAAGAAATCAAACAAAGCAATAAAATGAGATAGAGTTAGAAATCCTCATTGATTGATTTGATGATCTTCAATACAATTGTCACCTTGAATCTTCAATCACTCAAATCACCATTGAAATTCCTCACTTTCTCTCTCTAAAATATACTCTTAAAACTAACCCTAAAACTAAAGAGAGAAGCTCTTAACTAAGCTAAATTATTATCAAAATCTAAAATGAAACTTTTTTGCAAAAATTGGGTTCAAAAGGGTATTTATATGAGGCGCGAAACGAAGAAGAGCGAAGCTTGAACCCGCAGAGGAGCGCCCGCGCAGCAGGCCTACATGCCTGTGCAACAGGCAGCGCCCCCACGCTATTATGGGTTTCTTCGAATCTTCTCGCGGCTTCATGTGTTCGCTAAGGACTTCAAATGGACGCGCAATATGATCATGATGAACACTAAAAGTGGCAGTCCCAAAAAGCACTTGACAGTGGGTTCAACACCCCATCTTCATGAGAGCGCAAGAGCTAGAACTTGGAGAATCCACTTCCTTACATCTTAAGCTTTCCAATTGCCATGAGCTTGCTCCAAAAGCATTTTCCACCTTAGTAAATCACCAATATAAAGACCTGGACCTCATACAATACCTACAACCACGAAAATAGAGCATAATAAGGAGAAAAGAGTAGAAAAACCGACAAAATGCACAAAAGTTACAAAATAAGAGAGGAAAGGTAAAACCAAGACCAAATGCATAAAACTAGGCATTTATTGAGCATGAAAGCTATGAAAAGTGGAAGAAAACAACCTAAATGCTCATCAAATGGGTACCATTTATAATACCCATCAAATACCCCCAAGCTTACCTTTTGCTCGTCCTCGAGCAAAACAAAACCAAGGGAGAAATGATGAGCTTAATCAAACAAACAAAAAGAAGAGAAGAAATAAGAATGTACACTAACTCACTTTCGTAGGAATCACGGTCAATTTTAGCAACTAAAGACAAGCCATTTAAACCCCTAGATCGCCCTAGAGGACGAGTGATGCTCTCGTAAAAGTTTCCTAAGAGATTAACCTATAAATCTCGTAATAATACAAACAAGGCAAAGCATGAAAAAGAAACCAAAATACAAGAAAATCAAACAAATGTTCATGAAAGGACTTTTCCAAATGTACAAGCACAAGTGAATGCAAATCTTTCTAAACATGTAAGGGAGTGCACGTTCTAAGATATCAAGGTTGATTGAAACATAGGACATGCTAAGCATATATAACTAATGGAATGCGATTCACTTTCATCTCAAAACATTTTAGCACATTCTCCCAATTAGCTTCAAATCTACTTTTAGTGAGCGTCTCTATAGTTCCTCAAAGGAACCGAAAAAACAAATAGATTTGAGGTTTCTCGACATTTTGACTTTGAATCCCCTTTCCTTAGGCTTTAACTCATAATACCCTCCCTCGATATGTGACTCAACCTCTAGGTCAAAAGGTCTTTCCCAATAGTTGTGACGTAAAGGCAAAAGGTTGAGGGTAGGCTAAAATTTAAAAATTTGGTGGTATCCCTAATAGTGAAGCAAAGAAGGCGCCTTTCTTAGAAACACAGTCAAGTAGTCACCAAATAAAAATAAACTAACACCCCAAGCTTATTCAAATCTATACTCACAAACATATATACAAAAAGCGCAAACGCTTCTCCCCTAAGCTTAAATGAAGCATTGTCCTCAATGCTTAGAAAGGGAGAATAATTCACATCAAAATAATTTTGAATTTTCTCATTCTCACTTTTTTGTTGTTTTCATATTTTCAAAGCAATTGTCCTCGCCTCTTTTAACTATGGACGACTCTTACAACTTTGCATTTATTATGTCCTTGCCTTTTTAAACTTTGGATGGCTTTTTCCAATCATACATTTTCCATTATTCACAAAATATACACAAAATACAAGCTTGCTTACAAAAGGAACTAATATCCAAACTCATATACCACAAACTCCAAGAACATGATCATTTGCTTCACAAAAAACAAAAATGGACCAAAAAGAAACAAAAGGCTCAAATTTCTAAAGATATGGCTTGAAAAGAAAGGAAAAGGCTCAAATGGTTAGCAAGAAGTCAAATGTAAACCCCAATGAACTAAAAATAAATAAGATTATCCTAGAAAAGAAAAATACCACCTTGAAAAGATGCCTTTATCCTCCCTAGATGGTTCGGTCTCGTGTTTGAGAATTATGAGTCAAGATTCAAGATTAGGTCCGCAATAGTCAAGGATTCATGCCGCTCATGCAAGATATGTAGAAGGCTTGAAAATCTTGAAACCTCACTAGGTTGTGGCAAAAATTCACTATTAGTTTCAAATTCACCAAAAGGGATCGGAGCAATTGCAAATTTTCAAAAACAAATAGAATCCGGCTTCAAGGTCCCAATAGTTCTAAACGACTACCTTAGCGTACTCTATCCTAGAATCAACCAAACATACTCTCAAACCATGCACACCATTACCATTCAAGAAGAAAAGCATTCAACTATACAAGTCCAAAGGTATTATGTCCAAAGCAAGAACAAAACAAAGATACATTGCAAATTTGCCTTGATAGAAACAAAAATATTTTTGGAGTTTTTCAAGGTATAGAACATGGAAATGCATATACAAAGGTGCATAGCATATATGAATCAACATCCCATCAAACATGATAGAATACCCTTTCCCAAGCTTGAATGAGATAACATGCTCAAACACAAATCAAATAATCCATGGGAGGGGAAAATAGAGAGATCAATCCAACAATACCAACACATGTCCAACAAGGCATCATCTATTAGAGAAGGGGCAAAGAAAGATATTATCGGATGTTAGGTGGGTGTAAATACCCACAAGTGACCCAATTCAACCTTTCAAAGCCAATTTCCTCAATAATTGAAACTTGCTTTCCATATGCTAGCAAAATAGGAGTCAATCTTCCTTGATTCTTGATTCAAACCAACGCACCAAAGTATATCTTCGAGTCATGTACCTAGAAAAAGGCACACAAACATTTCCATGAGAGAAAATCTTTTCTAAAAAGAAAAGAAAATGAAAGCGATAAAACACGGGTTACTTCCCGAGAAAGGCTTGCTTAAGGTCCAAGCTTGACCGCTCTAGAAAATAATAATTCAACGCACGCAAGAGCTTGTCAAATGCACTACTACACATTTCATATGATAGAAGGTAGGAAAATGACGGGAAGAGGATGTGCAACAAGGATAGTGCACGCAAGTGAGTACAGAGATGCCAAGAAAAGGAAGAAGAAGAATCAAAAGAAAATTCAACAAAATATGAAGGAAAAGAAAAAGAATGAGAAGAAGAAAAAGATGGCAAACTCTCCTCAAAATATTTTTGGGTGGCAACATCACCCTTTTCCTCAACAATAGACGAATGAGGGACATTAAAATCATCATAGACAAGAGGGTCTCGAATAGGCTCATTGACAAAAGAAGGGAGGAAAATAGGAATGTAAGGGATATGGTTGAATCTTCTTGAAAAAGGGGTATGAGAAAAGGGAAAAGGGGTAGCTACTCCCTCACCACAAGGTCTCACATCGCCAATTAGGGCATAAAAATAATCAATCATAGAATCTTCAAAAGAAGAACACTAATGATCTCCATCCCCCTCAAACATCCAACTTCCAAGAGGAACAACATAATCTCCTCCACTACATTCATGTACAATAACTCCCTCAACTTCCTTATAGCTCAAAGTCTCATAACCATGTATGAATGGATGCAAATTCATTTTAATATCATCTCTCTCCCATGAAGCATTCTCAATGAACTTACTTAAAAGGCTATGCGTATTCCTTTGACACTTAATAAACACATTGGACATAATATCAAACAAGTCCAAATACTCATGGATAGAAGAGTCACATACATACACTTGAGACTCATCACAATCAACAAAGGAAGAGAAGTCTAGATTCAAAATATCATCAAAATCATAATCACTATCAACTCCCTTTCCATTGCTCCTATGCTAAAAAATAGATCCTCACACACTCTTGGTTGCTCGTTAATATCATCATCATCATTATCAACACACACATTGGATTTGGAGTTTTTACAAGCAAGCGTCAAGAGTGATATTTGGCATTCTAGCTCTTCACCAATCCTTCTTCTCTACTCCATTAG